ACCTCACGCGCACAATGAGCGGAGCGACGCACGAGTGCATCCAGGTTGAAGTGTGCATACAAGCACAATGGTATTTCACGGTGGAACTTTCACCCTTCGTCCGCATCGCTAATGGTGCAGTCATGGTGATGCGATGGTGGATGGAGAACTACATCGACTACTCCGCTACCACGAGCAGTGGTCCACTATTGGTAACAGGAGACAGCGAAGCAGAATTGGCTAACTGTTGTTACGAAGCGGCTGTCGTCAGGGAATACTCGCCGAGACCGCTCTAGCTGATATGCACTATTCTCTACTTGGACCATGCAAAAAATCGGATTCTTCCCCGGATCCTCAGAATCCGGTCGGATTCGTGAGAGGCGCCGCCAGTATTGGGCCATCCTTGACTTTCCACATTATGATGAAAGGTGCACGCGTATGAATATGATGCGTGGCATGCATCGACCGCGGTGCGGTTCCCGCGTGACGTCGACGGTGCCACCAAAACATCACGTGATGTTTTCAAGTCACTCCAATCGTGTGATAGACTCTATCAGATAGAGCTTCGTTTGTATCAATATACTGTTTGCTTCGCTCATGAGCAAGCTGTGGAGGACACGCCGCTTGTTATAGTAGTGCTCGAACTCCCAAGCCAGAATCCCTATTGCTCGGCGAATAGGAGAACTGCTCTGGCCAAGGACGTTTGGGTGCCTGGCTTCAGCTTTGTTGATACCAGAAATGAAAATCTTCTTGACCTTCGCTGTCGTGATCATAAACGCTGTCATTTGGGAAGGATGCAGCAGCAACGGTGGGTCAAATACTTTGGCGCAGGCTCCCTAAGTCTCCCGTTTCAGGTGGTGGAACTACTACTGCCTCTCCGGCCACTACAGCTCCCGGCACTACTCAACCTCCAGGGCCTACTACAACTCATGGGCCGACTCCCTCTCCGGGACCACCTCCCATTGGCACTTTCTTGCTCGATGAGACTCTGCCCATCGGTGGCTCTGTAACCGGCAGGCTCGTTTCCTCTGATGCTGACCCTGATAATCTTGTTATTACAACGATGTAAGCTCATCTACCTCGCGAAATGTCGCCTTCCTCACTCGCTTGCAGCGTTCTTAATAGCAGGAGTGTCTACCGTGCCTTCATATCCTTCGCAAAGTCCAACACTGGTTATTACTTGCTCCTGGGTTTATTCTCAGACTCATTCAAACGAATTCTACGCCTCCAAGTACACTTTTCAACAACACGTCGCCTGTGCCGTTCCACATGGAAGGAGCTAGGGTTGTTCTGGACGATACCAGCGTCTTTCCACCTTTGCCCCGAGTAACTATTGACAGTAAGTTCTAAAAACACTCGTTCAGGCTCTATCAGTTTCAATGTTGTATCACTTTTTCACGAGACCGAGTACATATCACTCATGGAATTGAACTGCTCATTGGGTCATCTTTTGTCAGGTGCCGTTATCACATACCTGCCCCCCGATGATATTCAGATTAACATCACTCAACCAGCTCAATTTTCTGTCACACTACATCGTGCTCCACCTTCAAGGCTCATTTTGAATGTCTGAGCGCTGCTTCAGTATGAGCTGTTGCGTTATAATAAGGGCTAAAAAGTCAGCACAAATTGAATGCCGATGCCGAGCGAAACCATCGCACGCGAGAAGCTGAGGCAGTGATCCTGATGGAGCTTCTCGGCCATCCCAACCTTCGAGTTCGACACAGACTCCAGGACGATGTAATTAGATAACTGGTTAAGTCCAGCGTTGCGACTAGAAAA